GTGAGGTGGAGAGAAACTGTTTGTTGCAAATGCACAACTAAGTCCTTCTGTTGTAAGCTGAGTAACAAAAGCTCTTAAAATATGGATGTGGAGCAATTAGCTAAGTAGCATTTAGCTGTTGCAAATCTGCAACATCTGACTGGAGAGGGTTAACATGAAACATTTTCACCATTTTACTTCTTATTTCAGCCCAGTATCTTTGAAGTTTGTGACACGACCAAGACAGTGAGTTAGAGTTCCCTCATCAGTTTTATTCTTGAGACAGAGAGGAGAGAGAGGCTCCTACCATGAGGGGAAATTTTCAGTCTATGTAAGATCTTAAACCGTATTTCTCTTTTCTGAGTACAAACTGAGATCCCTTTTGCAAGAGACCAGATATTATCCCACTTATCCTCATCTATGGTTACAGAAAACTCCCTCTCCCACACACCCCTGACCCACAACATTAATAAGTTGTGTTTTATCAAAAATAATATTTGCGGCTCTAAATTAATCTCACTTAGCTGGAAAAAATGGCTCTTTGAGTTTTAAAGGTTGCAGACTGTTGGGAGCTGGAGAAGTTCCACCTTTTCTCCAGCAGAGTCCGCCGTGGATCCTTCTGAGGGAGCCTCCTGCACAGCTGCAGCCCATCAAGATCATCAGAGGATCCACTATATAAGCTGTCTTCAGACCTTGCCTCAACGCCGCAGTGTTGATCCAGTTGGTCAGCGCTTAAGCCTAGACTCTCAGTGAATCTTTGTGACTTTGAATCCAGCCTGGATTCTAACCGTTGTCTCTGTCTTCCAGGAAACCAGTGTCTCCTCTGTGGAACTCAGGAAGAGCTAACCTGCCGAGCCGACCCTCAGAGCCAAACCTGAAGAACCTCAGTGAACTTCCATGCAGCTCAGGACTAAGAGCTGGAAAACCCAAAGCCAAGGTCTGCTCAGTACTAGACGTAAGACGCTGAAGCAGCGAGCGGACTCTGCTGATCAACTCCTCTCCAGGTCCAACAGTGACCCTCTCAAAGTTATCTACAAGAACCCTCAAGGTACAATCCGTAACAATCAAGAACGCCAGCTCCAAAGTGCAATGCTAACTGAACTGTCTCTCACGAAGACTCCGGTGAACCAGTTTCCAGGCCCGAACTAGAACCAGTCTAATCAGTGTGCTTGTGAACAATAAACTTGTTGAACTTTTACTCCTGTGTCCGTCTAGTGGTGTT